TTATGGTATTTACACCTAAGCAAAAGCGTGGTTACAAACTCAAACCTTTCAGAGGAGGGGGAAAAAAAAAAAAAAAAAGAGCTGAAAAGCTTTTGGTACTTTTACAATAAAGGGGCATCCATTTAAGTACATAAATACACTCTTTGATTCCCAACCTCAGAAACCTATTGCTAATATTTTCTTCTGTATATTCAGGAACTATGCCCTCTGACCTTAACTGACTTAGCCCATTGATAAAAACATTCCTGCAGACAGTTTAACCAGTACTGAAAGTATACAATGATCTTTCACACGTAACAATAAAAAAAATAAAAGGCTGATGAAATCACTTCAAGAAGATGATTACTTACCTCCAATCAGCTACCAAAGAATTACTTTCACTTTTGAAGAGAAAAGGCCAAAAGATGCGTATTTTAATAATGTTGCAATATTCTCTTAATATGTCAACTGGCTGACTGCACCACACTTCACAGGGATCAACATCTTCAAGAAAACAGTTAGGAATTAGACTACACAATTTAAACATTACAGGTAATCAAAGTCCAAATAAACATTCAAAACATCAGTTATTTCCATACTGTACTCCTAAGTACTATCTAACCAAACCAAGAACACTCTAAATACGTATGGCAACTTGCAATTTTTTTTTATAAGTTAAAAAGGGAGAGGGCGATTATATAGAAGTAAGAATAGGGACCTGCTGGCAGGCTTTACATTCCTCGCTCAAGGAATTGCCTATGTTCTGAACTGTACTGATGTAACACATTATAAATGAATAAACGCAGCCGGTTTCTAAATGAGGAGCCTAACAAGGGCTGTGACTTGTTTAATGGCTATAAGGGATTCTATTTCCAAGCTAAAACATGAGCCTCTTCTAACTGGATCTATTTATTTTCTACAATAAATCCAGCGTAGTGTGGCATAGCAACATGGTACAAAAAGATCAGCAACATTCTTCTTTCTCCAGAGGCCATTATGTGTGTGATGCATGGCTCTTTCAAAAATACCATCCATTTCCCTCAGAGACTGTCTTTAAAAGGTAAAGATCCTTATTAGACTATTGAGGTGGCATCAAGGATTCTCAGAGCAGAAGCAGTGTTATCTGAACATCTGAATATACGTAAAAATTCATTTTACACAGCTGGCTGTGTTCATCTGAGCTTCCTACATATTACAGGTTACCACTTGTATACTAAATACAGTTTTGAAGAACTTGACATACTTCTTGAGCCACTTGCTTTTCTGCAATTATTAAAAAAAATGCTTGCAAACATTGTAACTGCAAAACTTTACCTACAAAGATCAACTTGAAGGTGTCTTTAGACCTATACAGCTAAAACATAGCTACAATTACAATACAGGTAACTAACACAAGCCTTAAATTTCCATCCTCATAACATTAATTGACTGCATGTATGTACATATTATTGAGTATTTACACTGTTCTCACAAATGTATAGTAGTCTTCTGCACGTTACATTAGTACAAAAAGGTGAGAATTCTTCCAGTGTAAAAGAACATACTAATGCTTCTGCTCAGAAATAATAATTTTCTATTTATTCATACAAAGTAAGGAAAACAGTGAAATAGTAATCAAAAGATTTGAACAGAGCACAAAAAGCGCATGAGAAAGTTATGTAACATTGGTTTAGTTTACATACCTGTTTTAGGCTTATGTGGTGACTGCTGTACAAACACTCCGTGACCCTGAAGATAAACATATTTTTTTAACATTGCACATCTCGCAAATGTGTTACACTATAAGCAATGATTGCTTAACTGTTTCTAAGTATTAAACCAATATAAACTGTTTACATCAGGAAGAGGAAGGAAGTGTTTTTTACATTCTGTCACCAATTCCTTTTCTCAAGAAAAGGTGCTTATTGGAAGTGTTTGGAGCAGTATAAAAGAGTCTATGGTTATATCTTCATAAACAAGCAGCATGATCAGCTAGGAGACAAATCTATAAAGCAAAGTATTTCGTACTGAGCAGTCTACTTCACATTCTATGCTCTTCAATGGGTTTCAGTTTGCACTGGTGCAAATCTAGTCCCATGGACAGAGCACCCATTCATGGCTGATGCACATGACCTACACTGTCCAAAAGCATCTTCTAGATTAGTTTCATCCCCAGTGAATCCCACTGGCACACTCCAAGACTTCTTCACAACATAAGCCAAAACATGAAAGACGGGGACGATTGGGATATTTGCTTCGAATTAAAATACTAACGCAAACACATTATTTAACAAAATTAATAATTAACTAAAATTTAGTTAACTATTATAAATGGTAATTATTTAGTAATTAACAAAAATACTCATGCACACACCATGGACCAAGACAGGAAAATTATTTCTATGTAACCTAGTCATTTTGACCAGAAGGTTTTAATAAAATCGAGTAATACCCATTCAATGCTCACCAGCACCTCATGATCTTCCAAGACCCACCTGAGGTGGGTAAATACCCCATGCTTTTTCCCTCCCACTCCATTTCCCCAAGAATAAAATGCTATTGGTATTCCCCATTCTCCCACATGCTTCTGCACTTTGGCCAATGTTTTTCTGAGGAAAACAAGGAAACTTGAAGTCTGCAATATTTTGCACTACCGAACAACAGATGCCTTTGGATCCAATCTTTATAATTCATGTGAAGCACAGCCAAAAAGCAAACAAACCAAACAAAAACATGGGGAAGAAAGCATGTTTGCTAGCATTATTTAACACCATGGTTCGGTTGCCACCTTATGAAAAAAAATGTTTACCTGCATAGCCATTCAAAAATATCCATAGATTAATAGTTATAAATCAATGGAAAAACTTCTACTAGTTTAAACAGTATACTAAATGACACTAGAATAGTATTCTAAAAATTAATAATTCAAAATCGGGTATTAAGCAGCAATATAATGTTCAAGAGCACATAAGGAAACATATCTAAGAAGACAACACGGGTTTTCAAAAAAATAGTAATAAAGTTTTGACGATTAGTGCATGTATATATAAATAAATACAGTGGAGTTGTTGATTTACTACTTCATGGCAGCATACTGTATCAATGAGCCTCTCAAGCTGAAGAACAAATGACTTTTGTTTTACTGATCCCTATGTAAATTTTAAGAGATGACAAGAACAAAGAATAGGTAAACAGTCTACAGTTAGTTTGCAGACTTGAATTTACATGAACTAAGTTGCAATTGCTTTGCCACTGAAGGAACTGAATCTGTGACTCCAAGGTCCCAAATACAGCCTGGATACACAGCCAACACGTTGGTCAAGTTGTGCTAATCAGACCATCACTGTCTAGTTTTACACAGTAATGTATACATTCAGTAAAACCTTCCTGATAAAGGATACACAGTCTCTATGCTCTACCGCAATTTAGTACTTTTGCAAGGGAGTAACATACAGTGGTATACCTTTGCCTCAGTTTAAATTAATCAACACTAGCAATTACTCTGTAGATCAGATCTGGGTATAAACCCCACTGGCACATCTTGCAAGCTTTTCATGTAGTTTCAAATATACTTACCAACTCACAGCACGATTTATCACCAGCATAGAAGGCCAAGGCTGCAAACTCAGATTTGGATATAGGTTCACCCATGGTACATGATCCTGAGATAAAAGGATTAGGAAAAGCACATGAGGGGAAGGCAAACAACGTGTGCCTTTCAGAACTTGAAATGATCGCAACGTAATTGACGCTTTACAAGAGTTTCATGGAAGAAACGTGTTCTTATTTTCACACAGCGTGGGCTGATGTTGAAAGCAGTGCCTTAAAGCACCGGTCAGAAGCTAGCTAAATCGACTAACCCTCAGGAGCCCCGGAACCCCCGGCGCCGGACGCCTTGGCAGGAGGAGACGGGGGCGGGGGGAGAGGGTCAGCACCTCGGGAACCGCCGCCACACCGCGGGGGAGCGGAGTTACCCACCCCGCCGGGCAGCCCCGACCGACAGCACCGGCCGCGCAGCCCCCGCACCCGCCTTCCCGCCCCGGCAGCTCCGCCAGAGCCGAGGCGGGGTCCGGCGGGGCTCCCCGCGGCCGCCCTGACAGCCCGGAAGCCCGGAGGATCACCACTGACGTGTCGCAAGCCCGGCGTTTCCCGCCGGGACAGCCCTGCCCGTACCCGGTCCTCCGGCGACCCGGAGGGGCTCCCGTGGCCGACGGCACCGGTCCCCTGCCACAAAGCGGGTCGGGTCGGGCAGGACCGGGTGTCACCTTGCTGGGGGCTCCGCAGAGACGGGCGTCAAGCAAGGCGGGAGCGCCCGCCGACCCCTCACTCACCGGCCTCCGCCGCACTCCCCTCCGGCTCCAGCAGGCCGAGGCCACTCCCCCTCCACACACACACACACACACCCCCCCACGCACACACTGCCCCCACCCCACCCCGGCGGGGCCCGCCCGCCGCGCGCGCCAGCACCCCCGCCCCGCCGGGCCGAGGCTATTGGCGGCTAACCCGCCTGACGTCCAGGGAACGAACCAACGGCGCGGCGAAGCAGCCAGCGATCCCCGCCTGCCGCGAAACCCGCAGGCCCTGCGCATGCGCCCCGCTTTTCGGAGAGGGGGGGGGCAGGTGGGGAGGGCGCGGTGTGGCGTGTGCTCTGGCTGCGCATGCGCGAGGTGCGGCGCGGCGGGGAGGCGGGTGCGCGGTACCGGGGGCGGGGGGTGTTTAGGGAGCGCGGCGGGGCGTATCCATTTTCTTCTTCCTCATTCTGCCGCGGAAGGTGTCCTGGGGTGCGGTTTCCTCCCCTAGCCAGGCCGTGGCCTCCGAAGGAAGGAGACAGAGCGGCTTCTCCAGGCGGGGCGGGGGGATCGGTAGCACCGGGGCTCCTGTCTGTCCGTTGAGGGGGGCGAGTGACAGGGCCGCCGCCCGCGTCCACCTGTGTCCCGTCCCGTCCCGTGTCCGTCCGTCTGTCCGTCCGTCCGTCCCTCGGGGCTGAGGAGAGGCTGGGCTCAGGGGGGTAAAACCGGCAGCGGGATGAGGGGGTAGTTGGGGGGGGCGGTGGTCTCGCTTCCCGCAGCCGCGAGCGGCGAGGTGTTCCGCGAGGAACTTACCGGGAAACCTCCGGACAGCTCCTTTCCGTCTGTGTGTCCGTCCCGCCCCCAAGTTCAAGGGGAAGAGACCGATATGGTCGAAAACTCTCCAGCCCCGTTGCCAGAAAGGGCAATATATGGATTTGCTCTGTTTTTAGGATCGTGGTTTTGCTTTAGTAAGTATACTGGGTACTGAATACTGAGCCAAAAAGCGTTGCTTTGCTTACAAGACCAATGTAATCCCTATCAGACCATCTGAAACGGGTCAAAATTGTATTACTCCACCTATCGTAAGGGTGCATGATGAAGGACTATGTGAGTGTTTTACTTGCCAGACCTGTCAGTTACAAAGATCTGCCATTGCCTTTTGTGACTTATGTTTTGTCTGTCTTTAACCTTATTATGGGGCCTTTAATGATACAGAGTCAAATTATTTAAAAAATTACCCGGATTCTCATTTTACTAAATTTTTTCTTGATTTGCATTGTTGCCACCATTCAGAAGCCACTGTAGATAGTAGTAGTGCAACCTTCGCCACCCAAATACAGGGGGGAAAAAAAAATCAATCTGGTCAACAGCGATGGAAAATTATTAGGGTTATGCCAGCATGTTTTTTTGCTGGTGTGACAGGTGCTTTAGCATTTCACTGGGGTTATCTTGCGTGCCCATGCAGGACCAAGGCTTGAGAGAGTGAGAATGATTTTTCAATACAAGAAAAGCTGCTGCAAATATACTGTAGTGAAATAACAAACCAAGATCCTCCTGTAAGTCTTTTTCACCCTTAGGAAGTAAGTAAAAATGAAAATAAGTTGATTTCTGTTCTTCCCATAGGAAGCCACTGCAGTTACATAAGTTGTGTCACTGGCTACTAACCTGTTCCCCTCAAGTTTTGTTAAACCTTTCTCTGAATTTGTTGTTAGGGAGTAAAATTTCTCAGCATTGGTTTTGTTGATATGAAAATTATTCTAGGAATCTAAGTTTTTCTGGTAACTTTTTCTGAACAGTTCCACCCAAGCACTGCAATTCTACCAACTTTTCCTTCAACCAAATGACCCACTGTGTGATCATTTTCTGCTTTAATATTTTATGTATTGACAGTCATTTGCCTCCCTTTTACTGTTTTTTTGTTCTGCAGTTCAACTAGCAAGAAATTCTTGTCTGTCTACATAGAAAATCAGAAACTAAATGTTAAGTAAATAAAAATACAATATATAACCAGCTACAAAACATTGCCCCCATATTGGGCAGGTTTTGTGTCTGAGAGGCGTATTCTACAATGTTTTGGTGGAGCTAGTGTAAAAGCAAAATACTGTCTCTGCGTGTATGAGTAGGGAAGTATTGCTCTAAAACTTAGGAAGGAAGACTAAGACAGTATCAGTCGTACTATTATGACTTTTTAATTCTTTTGTGCAGTGTTATATCTCATCTGGGCTTATGTTCCCGAGACTTGGCTGTTCTCATTGGGACTAACATACTGGCCTCAAAAGTAAGTTCAACCAATTAAACTCTTTAGCCTGGATATATGTAAGTATAGGACATCCTTAATTATTTTCAAGTAACAAAACTTTTTTTTAAATAGTGGTCTTGTATTTAATAGTTTTTCCTAATTATAAAGGACTGTAATCTTTGCGAAGCACCTTTTTATGTAGTTAAGTAGCTATGATGAAAAGTTTTCATTGTGTAATGAAAGAAACAGTATTTGAATGACTTAAGATAAATTTGACGTTTTGTTTTCAGAAAGTTTGCCGATGAAAATACAGTAAACTTCAAACTTTAATTACATGAATAAAAATCTTCTGGAAGGAATCTGCTGGAGGGTTTACACCAAACTAGCTACAGTAACTCTGCAGTCAGTAATCTTGGGAGGGTCAATAACTCTGCAGTCAGTAATCAGGGTCCATATTTAGTTGGTGTTTCTTTTCCTCTTGCCTAAGTTTGTGCTATTTACAATAACAACCACTAGATTAAAGCTGTTATATCATTAGGCGTTTGTTATTATGATATGTAAATTTTTAAATCTCTCTCCTCAGATACTGGGCAGTTGCTTTGCCAGCGTACCTACTAGTTGCTATAGGAATTGGTTATATATTACTTTTTGGTATTAACATGATGAGTACAGCTCCACTTAACTCCACACATACCATTACAGGTAATTTTATTAGTGTTTTTTAAATATTTTGATACTTACCTGATAATTTCTGTAAATCCATATATGTAGCCATATATAATGTAACTCAAATTTTAAGCCTTTAAATATTTTGATCTAGAAAAGGAGTTCTTGGAAGTACTGAAGTACTTGAGTGAAAAAGTAGCCATAAGCCTGACTCTTTCCTCTTTGCCATCTCATGGCAGTGGTTTCCAACTAGTAGAGCATACTTTGTTATTAAAACAGACCACATTAGAGGAACAGGGTTTAGGCATATAAAGAGCTCCCAAGCATGCACCTTGCTTTGCAAACAAGTGAAGAGTGTCATGGGAAGAAGGGCATGAGTACCTACCTGGCAGTGGCAGAAGTGGGAAGGCACGCAGGAGTCAAGGTGGCACAAAGGAGGATATTGCACTATTGTGGCCTGGTCAGATATGCTAGTGATTCCCTGCCTAAAAAAACTTTTCTTCAGTTTTTCTCTCAACTTCTGTGTAGACTTTACTTCTGCCAAGGAGACATGTTCTGGGCATTCACAATGTTCTCCAGGCAACTGCATCTTCTTCCACGTGAAGAGTTCCACTGCTATTTGCAAGTGGCCATTTTTGTTAGAAAAAACGCAGACTGTAAAATTTTGCAAGAAAGTAACCTATTGCTAAGACTGCTGAAGTTGCATTGTTTTAACAAACTATGTACATAGTATTACATTAGACTGAACTGCTAAGGAAAAAAATCAGTCAAGTCCATAGTTCAAATGCATTACTCCCAACGCTTCTGTCAAGAACTGCCACTCAGTCATCCCTGTGTTCCTGGCCACTCATTTCACATCTCATGTCACCCCCTCATTTTGTGTCAACCCGAGTTTGTGTGGCTGTATGGCAGGTCGGATGGGAGACCTACTCTGTGAAAGAACTATATTTGAAAATTTTCAGAGGGAGCAGTTCCATCATTGTGTTCAAAGTGCACCTGTAAAAATGTTTACGCTGTTATACGGATGAGTGCTGTGTGGTGATGGAAACAAGCAGCCAAGATAAAGGGAGGGTGGACAGCATCTCTCAGCATAAATCCTAGTACAAAGTATTCAAACTACAGACTGAGCTATTCACTGTGGAGCTTTTTGTTTGTTTTATCTTTGGGTAGTTATGGTTTAATGTCATACGGCATCTTAAACCAAGCAAAGTCCCAGACAGTGATTTCAGCAGGAGGGTAGGATTGATTTCTTCAGGGGCTCTGCCAATATATGTTGGTGTAAGGGGTTTCTGATGACCATCTCATTATACCTCAGTAAGATGGGGGTTTCAACATCACTTGTAGTAGCTAAATTAGTAGTGTTGCATTATATAACATTTCCTGAAAGAAAAAAACCTTTAATACATGAAATGTTCTTATTGTCTCCTGTAGATAACTACGCAAAAAAGCAACAACAGAAGAAATTTCAAGCAGAAGCAATTCCAGCATTGAGGGATATTCCCATCAGTGAAGTAAATAGAATGTTTTTCCTTCCTGAAAAAGGAATCTGCAATAGCAGATAGTGTTATTAAGATCTGTTTGAATAAAGGATTAGTGGAAGTGTTACGTAAGGAAAAACAGACCCCCTCCAAGCTAAAAAACCTCTCTTTTGGCTTGTAGAACAAAGCTTTCATTTTGTTTTGTTTTTTTTTTTTTTTTTTTGTTTGTTTGTTTTTATATGAATTTCTAACTAAATTTATGTTAACACATTTCAATGAGATGGCTTGATTTTATTATTATGCATGCACCTTAATAACCTGCATTGGTGTGAGAATTGTGCCACAGTAATTTATCTAACTGTTCTTGTGAGTTTAAAATAGCATTTTATTACTTGTAGATTTCTACTTGTAATTTCCTCTGGAAGGGGAAAGAAATAGCTTTTTGACACAGCTTAATTCTACTTCCCTTTGAATTCTGGGAGAGAAAATGTGTTCTCCTAGTCATGCTTGAGGATGCTTTTTTATTACAGATTATGTGAATTTGAAGTGTTAATATTGTAAATGTAAATTTTAATTTGTAAATATTAATATAGCTAATTTTTACTTGTTAAAGGTAGACATTTTTCTGTGGTTCTGTGGTATTTGTCTGAGGTAAAGGTGTACAGTGGTCTGCAAAATATGTTGATTTTTTCTTTCCCCCCCAAATTGGAGGGCTTATTGAAATACCAAGACTACCAGAAATAAGGAAGGTGGGTTGTGAAGATTTTCTGAAACAATTCTTGAAATAACTATTTTTTTTAACCATTCTTAAGAATACTGAAAACTAGGTTCACGGAAATTTCTGGAAAGACAAGAACTGACAGGTCCATCTTATTATAGTCTAGGTTATAGCACAAAGCACAATAACTTGTTATGGCAGTGGTTCAGAAGTTTCTTAAACAGTGAATTTTCTTTCACACTTGCACTACTGAGGAGAGATACAATCTTTATCTCCTTTTTTCCAAGAGTCACAAACCCAGTTATCTTCCGTAGTCAAGGTTATTCAGTTTGGTTATAAAGAGCAGTGAATAGAGCCTCATTATTATTTGGTAGGCCAATTTATGACCAGCAGAGAATTTAGTTAAAAACATCACTATTTTATTAAAAGATAATAAGACATTTTTTTTAAATTTGTGTGGAGAATCTTACACCAGTTCTTTAGAAATTGGTCAAAACAATCATCAGTTGCTGTCAGAAGTCTTAAGACCTGGTAATAATCTGGTATGAATATAAAATTTGTAGTTTCTTGGTCCTCTAGTCTTTAGTAGTTTGTTACTCTTTTCCACTCACTTTTGAAGAAAAAAATGCATGGTAGTTACTATGAGTAGGAGAAAAATACCTTCTTAATAAAGGCAAAAATGCTTTTCAACATTTCACTCTGAAATAGTAGATCTTAGGTATATTGTTTGGGGACATTTCATATGAGCATGTATTTGTACCTAAGCCTAATGACTGTAAATTAGTACAATGTTTATTTGTATGATAGTTGTAGGCTTCTTTGTGAAGTTTCGTTTTTTGGTTTGCCCCCAGTTACTATTGTTTCCCCCTCCTGCCATGATTCTGCCCTTCTATTAATTTTAATTCAAGTGCTCAAAGACACATACGTAAGGTGAATTTAAGATTTTATAATCAACAGACATGAAGGTGTATTTACTCTTTTGTCAGTTCTTTAATCACATTGTAGACACTGAAGTACTGACTCTAATCTTTTTTTTTCTGTGTAATTTCTACCCATGTTCTACGCTCCTTTTGCTTTCTGAGAAAGCAATTTCGTTTTCAATTCTAAATTGACAATAAGTGAAGGCCACCTTTCTGGTATCATTTGATGTAAGGATTAATTTAGTCCCCTGTTAAGGATACCCAAATCCCTTCAGGATAAAGAAAAGCTACTGAAAAATGCCCTCGAGCCCTGAAAGCACACAAATTAAAGGACAGTAAACCTTGGACAAAGATTGTATCAGTGATGAATCTGCCACTGCATTTAACTGCAGACCTTACAATTATGGGAAAACTAACAGAGACACCTAAGTGAGTAGGCAAACTGGGGTCATTTGTTTAAGTAAAACTTGCAGGCATGAAACTCAATCTTTGCTTTTCTGTCACTGTTATGTAGCGGTGCTTCAAAGACACTGTAGTGACCTTTTCTTCAACTTAGGGGTAATGTTTGACACTTCAGAAATTGCCTCTGTAATCAAAACCAGGTAACAGTTATATGGGCTAATAAATACACTGTAGGGAATTGCAGGTGTTTGGGATCCGTCATTTCATGGTCTTGCCTATGACTGTGATTAAGGAAAAGATATTCAACTTGGCCAGCAAAGAGACAAGAGAGTCTCTCTTTTTGTAAATATACAGCACACTTATTTAGTGGGATTTATAGAGGTTTTGCCTTAGCTATTCAGAAAAAAAAACAACCTGAAGTGATTGAACTGTGTTGCTAGTAGTGCCTTTCTTTACAAAACATACCTGTTCAAAGACTGGATATCAGGTATCCATTCTTCTTGGAGACTGAGGAAAAACTAAATAAATAAAGGCAAAAACCTAAATTTGCCCTCATTTTCACCCTTCTGAATTACTGATGGCATATTGTTATAGCACAACCAGTAGTGACCAGTAGAGTTAGACCAGCTGGATTGTCCCTGCTGAAATCAACCAAATGATGAAACTTCAGCCTTGCTTTTTAACGCACCTTCCAGGGTTCTTATGAAGTCTTTATCTTATTTGAGACTGATTGTATTTTACACATGTTGCTAGAATCTTAATCTTATAAGGCAGGTTACCCCCCAAATGGTATTTGAATGAGTGTGTATGTAAACATGTAATTAAAAAAGTAACAAAGGTGCACTGTTTCAAATGAAAAGGCTGTATGCCAAATGAAATCATCGAGCTGTGTTTGTTGAATTTGTGTAAAGGTGGTAGAATATGTCTCTCTTCTTTCCATATTAGCTGTAAAGGGAAGGGTAGTAACAACACAGATGGTGTGTTTATGGTGTTGAAGTTGAGAAGTACTGCAACTTTGAGAACAGTCATGCAACTGATTTTAAAAGAGACGCTCTCTTGGATTTTGGTCTTTTGCACTGCACTGTGTTGATTGCCATAAGCTTGGAGGCTTCGGCAGAAATACAAGATGTATGCACACGAAGTAGCAGAAGAGCTAAATTCTTTGTGTATCCACATAATTTAATTTTTGTTGTAAGCATTAATAGAAGTATTTTCCCACTTTGATTGAGATCAACAGAGAGCTGTAGTAAAAGAGGTAAGTGCTCTGTTGTGAAGTTCAAAGGTATAAAGCATGTGGAGTAAAATACGCAAGCACGTATGAGTAAAAAGGTAGCACAATTTTGTGTGTGTTTGTATTTACTGTTAGTACAGGTAGGATGACTGGAATAAGAAAAGGAAAGAAAAAGAAACACAGCATTTGAAATGTTGTTTCAGTCTGTAAGCATTAAAGTGATGTCCTTGCAGGAGGCAATGCCAAGTGAAAAACCTTTTTTCAGCAGTAGTAAAATGGACTTGTCTTTCTCTCTCAGATATGCAGGTATACGTTTGCTGTTACCTAAAGCATGCTGAAGTGTACAGGCCACCTTGAGCATACTATGGAAAGCTGTCAGCTTGATTTGATGATCTTTAAAATAATCATTGTTTGTGATTGGGAGTGGGAGGAGAATAGGCTATAAGGTGAGTAACAAATTATATTAGTCTACATTTTTTTATGGCAAAAGTTCAAGTATCAGTAAGTATGATCAAAGAGCCTCTCATATAAATCAGAAAGTTGTTATACTAAATGCTTATACTGTTGCTGCAGGCAACATTTCTGTACAGTTAAAAATTGGCTGGAATCGGGAGGGCTCATGCTGCCCACAATGCAGGTAGTGTGCCTGAAGCTTTTCTGAGAGCAGGAGCAGGGAAAATGTGTGTTTTGGTTCCATAGTGTAGATCTCTTTCTGGTACTCCAGTTGTTCATTGGTACACCTCTGCGCTAGTTGGTCTATAAACATTAAAAATGCAACTCTACCACCAACAGCAAGTAAAGTGTACACAGGGAAAGATGGTGGTGAAATAATACTAATAGGTTTTGCCGTTATTTTTAGTGGGCACTAAGGTGCTGTAAGTTGAAACAGGAAAATTTAGGCCAAAAAGGTACCTTAGTGAAGAGACCATAACTGTAGGAATGGTGAACTTTCCATCTCTGACAAAACTTAATATGAGAATGGAGGTAATAGTGAGATAGTCTAAATAGTATTCAACTGTTCTTCCTCTGCTTCTCTGCTTCAACTTCCTGTCCCAAGAGAGTGTAACAAATCAATGTCGTGGCTGTATCTGTAGCAATTCAGGTTTATAGGAGTGAGATCATCGCCCTAATACAGTGTTTCTCTAATACTTAATTCACATTAGTGCTGAAGCTCACACCTACAGGTACAATGAGAAACTCACCACCAAAGCTCCTTTGAAAAAGACTTTTTGAATACTTGATTTATTTGCCAGGCAGTTTCTGTGGATTTCAATTTAATATGTGCCTGTAAATGATAAAGTATTTCTGACTTACAAACAGAATAGTTAATAAATGATTTTGTGTAAATATATTTTGTTCCATAATGCACCTTTTCCATGGGCACTTGAGTCTGAGTGGCTAAAATTTTAATGCAAAGCCATTTTTGCTGCTTTACTATTAGATTTCCAGTCAGCTCTGGAGCTACTGAGATGAATGGAGTTTTTTGTATCTCTCCCTCTATTAATGAATTGAACTGTATTCTGAGGAGAAAGTTTTGAAAGGATTTAGTCTTGTTCTGCCAGTTTTCTTGCAGAGAGATTGCCAAAGTAAATTTTGTTGGTATGCTGTGCAGTTTAAGTATCAACTTAATTCTCAGCCTTTTGCTAAAAGCAGCTGATAGATTAACCCAGTCTGGAAATTGTTATATATGGAGTGTAATTAAATGGTAAATGTTTCAGTGAACTGGATGGATTTTTGTCTCTAGAGGTATTGTGAAGACTGCCTTTTCTCAGTTGTGGTGATTTAGATCTGCTACTGTTGTCATTCAGTATAAATGTAGCTTAGAAAAACAAATTGTTCCTGTGATAGTTCCTTTTCTCTTAATCCAAATTATTACTGCATCGTATTTAGAAAGAACACTAAACAAACTTCAGTGTCATGCGAGGATATGCTTTTGTTGGATATATGTTTCCTTCAAGAGCTTGTTTTAAAAGAACTTGAAAGTAGAATTCAAGACTATTTTATGACCATACTTTAATTTTTCATGTGAATACATACAATAGAAATACAAAATTGTAGATATCTGGATACCCCTCCAGCATTCATATACCGGTGGAACATTAACTTGTCTTTTACTGTCATAATTTTAGACAATGGAAATTGAAGGATAGCATTTGCTGGAAATGTTGCAGCTGTTGAACCACTAAGGGAAGTTCTGTGGAACAGAGTTCCTGAGCCAACAATTTAATCTGTAAATTGTTATGTTTCTAGTCTTGTCTTTGAAGTAGTAAGTTCATGATAAACTCATTATCTGGGGATGCTTTGTTATCTTTTTCCTGTAAATGATGGGTGGTTCTAAGGTCACTGAAAACTTAGCAAGGTCAAATCACAGATGAAGTAAAAAACCAGAACTGAAAACTGACAGTTAACTGCAGTTGAATAAAAGAGATGCTATATTAGTTCACTTTAAGCCTTCTCTTAATTATTAACAAACTGGTATGGGATCTCAATGCATATTTTATTTAAGTGTGCAAATAAAGGTATGTTGACATTGCAGCATGAAAAGAGTTATTCAACAAAAAAAGATGCTGGCTTGACGGGAAAAGGATAATACAGTTTTGGCTTCCTCTAATGACTGTAGTTAAATATTGCCAATCAGGTAAATAGTACAGTAATATTACCTCAATTTGAAAATGGAATTTGACAATACAGGGGAAACCAAATGGAATGTGTAGCAGAGACTGAGCAATTGAATCAGTTTAAGCCAATACAATGGTGACAGACCTCAGCAGTTGTGCAAGATGATTTGTTTGGATATTTCTAACAGCCTTTGGCAAGACTGTCATCCATTATCCAATTGTATTATTCTAATGCCGGTGTCTGTTCTACTGTCTTAAAGAACACACTTCTCAAGATACTTTTTTCTGTTTCAGAGGTATGTTTTTGTAACAGCACTTGCTTATGTCATTAAATATACATCTGATGCATCCAGGATGTAGCCCATTTATAAATATTAAAATGGCTGTTTCATGGGAGACCAAAGATAAATATAGCTAATATCCTGCCTCCAACACTGTCTAATAGTGCCTGCTGCAGTAGTAAGAGCAAAGATTAGGGCATGAAGCTAGTGATATTTCCCCAGAATGCTTCCCCAGCCTGCAACAGTGTGAAACTTCCAAGACAGATATTGCGTCTTTGTATTATTATAATGAAAATAATTTAATTTTTGTAAGTAGGTAAACTCTTAGTTTCAGTAACTTCACAACGTAATCACAAGTTGGGTTAAGTGCTTCCTTTTGTTTCAGACTCACTGCTCACTATTTTCCTTTGATGTTCAATCATTCCCCAACACCTCCAAGCCACACAAGATGTTAAAGACTGTGCATGTCAGGTATGAGTATCATTTTCTAGGATACAGCAGACTTATGCTCTTATTCTGGGTAGTCGATCTGCATTTATACCATGGCCACTTGTCTGGCATTTCCAAACTTCCAGCATTTGTCTAAAACTGCTCCTCTTTTCTGCCTAGGAATATTTTTAATGGAGCTACTGTCCCAGTTGGTTTGCTGTAGGTCTGGAAATTCTGGACAAGTTCAAAATGTTCAGATTCTGCCCAGACATCTTACCAGGAAACCTGGAATAAGATGTTCCATGCAGTACTGATGTGGTAGTTCTGTTAGTATGTATGGCCACTGTCTACACTGTATCTGTTCTTTTGTGTTGTTTGTTTTACTAGTTATGCCATCTGAAGCTTCTTCAACCAACCAGAGGTTCTTTACCAACACTCCTGAAAAACAGTACACTGAAACCAGTGCTTTCCATTTCTCAAAATATTCAATAGACTTCACCAACTAAAAATCAACTTAGAACCTGGCAGTGTTGCCGCATGCTGCTGCCGGAAAGCCCAGGAGGCTTTTTCACAGATCTCAGTGAGCCACTTGCCGCTCTAGGCTGGTTGACCACTGGCTAGTGAGAGGCCAGGACAGGATAACAAAGCTCCACACAAGTGGAGTGAGTGCCTGGAAGATGATATGTTGATGCTGAAGATTGGGTATTAACTCCAGACACCCATCTTCAAAAGCTCTGTCCTTCTGAAAACATGGTAACTTCTGCTGGTTATCCAAGCTGCAGTAACTGTGTTTTCAGACAGAGCTTTTGAAGATTTCTGTCTGGAGTTAATAAGCAGTCCTCAGTGTCAACACACAGTCCCACCTGTTGATGCTAATCCCTCCAGCTCAAAACCCCTCCTCAGTGTGGGAAGATCAGTCTCAGTTGCGCCTGAAGCGGGCCTCCATTTGTGTTACGTGGTCTTGTGGGTATTAGTTCCTCACTGCTATCCTGCAACAGCAGTAACACCAGCCCTTGCTCGGAGTCTGTGTCCACAAGCATGCACTGGTCTCATCTTTTCTGTGGAGTAGCCACAACCCACTGCTGGGCATCTGCAGGGCAGGCAGAGAAGCCGCAAAGGAAGAAGTAACAGGCAGCGTGGCGTGGTCTCAATAGGAAGGTAAGGATTAACAAGGAAGAACCTACGGAGTGTTCCTTTTACATAATGGATCCTTAAATGATGATAATATCTGTGTAAGGCAAATGGCTTTTCAGTGTAGTGTGTGTGTTAGGGAGCACTGTGCTGTGAGGGGATTGTGTGGTAACCAGCATTTTCAGAGGGGATGGAGGTGGTGCCCTCAACACATCCCTCCAGATTCCAGTAATACCCAGTGAAGGCCTGAGCGATACAGCAGTAAGCAGGTTGGTTTGTGTCATAGCACAGATTAAAATGGCAGCACACAGAGGTGTCCTGAATGGTGAGGAAAAGCTGTGTTCTGGACTCAGTGGTGAGGGCAGAACTCCAAACATTGGGAGTGAACTCAGCTGAGCACTGATGGAGACTGGAGCTTCTTGCTAGGAAGAAGCTGAGGCTTAATGTACAACAATTTGACCATTGTAGGGAATACGTCATTGCTGACCTGTTAAGTGATCTTGGATGCTTTTCTGTTTGTTTGTGCTACAGATTGAATAATGATGAAGCTGGACCATAAATCATTTTAAGATATCTTGTGAGAGAAGTGAAAGACCTTTAAAATGTCTGTATTTTAGTTCCATACGTTGGGAAGTAAAGATGTGGAGATGATGAATGAGTGAAACGTAGAAGATTGATTTTCATGTGTCATACCGAGGTTTAAAATTTCAACTAGTTCTTGTACTTCCATATATTATAGGATGCTGTCTCCTTGTGTAAATTTAATTAATAGATCCACTTTTTAGTTTGTAAATGGAGAATTTTTTTAAAAATTATTTAAATCCTCCATTCTAACATGTTCATTCATTTGGAATCCTAATTTGCTAGACTTACAATTTATAACACTATCACTTTGTTTGACAGTACATTATACTTAGAGGAAGATCTCACAGTCACTTTAAGTGGCTTACAACTGCCTGACCTCATCTATGCCACAAACAGTAGTGTATGAAAGATCAAGAATCTTGGATTCTGCCTTTGCCTTGTCTCTGGGGAAACTATGGCAGTTTGATTAGAGAAAAGATGCCCAAAGCATAATAATTCTGAAACATAGTGGAGCTAAATAGCTAATCCTTGAGCTAATTAAAAAATGCTGTCATAGCAAGGCAAATACTGGCAAACTCTCTGAGCATACACAATTTATGCAAACAAAAGGTTAACCAGAACAGATTATACCAATTCTCTGAGTGAAAAAAACTACTGAAAAAGCAGTTTTTGCTAATAGAGTAACAGTGTTGGGATAAATGTTTCTACACTGTATGTAAAATAAAGGTGCTTATGAAAATTACTAACGTAAATATTCCTGAACATCAATTTAAAAGAAATATCAAGGTAGTAAAACACACATCCAAACCCCGCTAGATGGGAATCAACAGTAGGTGAGTTATATTAAAATCATAGATTCAAGCACACTAAGCTATAGAAATAAGATTTGAATATTGTGAAGACAAAATGGTAGTACAGGAGTGTTTTAATGTGTCATTAATTTAAATCATAGCTTTTAATCAAGGCTGACTTTTTTCTGGCTGACAAAAAAGCACTTTTCTGATAACAGGAAGGAAATCTGATAATAACAGAATGACAGGACCCTAGAAAACATCATGACTGTCATTTAATACATGTCTTGACAGGGGGTTGTGCTGGAAATGGATTAAGTCAGTTTGGCATAAAGCATTTATATCAGAATACACATGCCCTACAGAGCTAATAAGCAATAGTCTTTGCATTTTAAATGATTTCTTGCTTAAATTCAAACATCGTGTTTCAAAGCCTTCAGGTTATTTTGGGGCTGTACATTATATTATTTTGCTTCATAATCAATCCTATTTTTATTTTTACCAGGACTGAAATGTAAAAAATAGTGAGTAACTAAATACAGTGCTCTTAATGTTCTTAATCCATGTTACTTAAACCAACTTGTTTTAAACCTTATAATCTTTTGTTCAGCTTCAGTGTTTTATTTAGAAGTCTCTCAAAACACAGAAGGATTTCCTCTTAGTTTCCAGTTTCATTGACTCATTCTTCTTGGTAAGATAGTTATAAATAATTTTCTTTAGAGCTTTGATGAATTTCTTTGTTCAATCAGATGTTTGTCCATATGTCTTGGACAGTTCTTTTTTTATCTCTTGATTTTTTTACATTTTATTTTGTGTTTTTCAAGGCTGACCACTGTTCGTTATTAGGCTGAGCTGATTTCTTCTTCATCTTCATCAGAGTCAGTATCATCATTGTAGAAGTGAATTGTAGCTTGTACTGGAAAACTCGCCAGAACCTTCTCTCCGATGTTATTAAGAAACTTTTGGGATTTGGATTTGGGCAGATAGAGTCTAATAAGAGAACATATTTTAAGAGAAAAAGTAAAGCTATGCAATGCTTTCCCAGCTAAGCCAGCTTGAGTATTAAAATCTATTTTTATCTTTCTTTGGAGAGAGAAAAATCCTAGGTTTCCGTGTCTTTTAAAATAAAAGTTGCTAACTAAAAGGTACTCTTGATTTTAAGTTACCTCAGTTGCTTTGGGCATATTGTGTATTGCATTTATCTAAGGTCCCACCCTGATAAAGTGTTGCCAGGGCAATGATGCGTGCTTGAAATGTTTTGATTTTGTTTGGTTTTTAGCACAATTCAGAACAGAAGTGTCCCATCTGACTGAGGGAAGTTTGAGGAATGTTCTGGGATTCTGGAATTAGGATTAAGACACCAGGTTAAGATTGGGGTGGGTTGCCTGTTGTATGGAGGTTGATACTAGTGGATTTTCTGTCTCTAGGTGTAGGAGGAGGTATACACTGAGAGAAGTTTATTTCAAAGTTCATATTGTTTTGTATTGAAATCATAAATGTCTTAATTTACATTTCAGGTTTTCACCAGCTTTCCCATGAAAGCAAAACTTATGTGGTCTGTATACATATGTGTTTTTGTGTACATATGTATGTACTTCTCTTCCTCTTGGTTCCACTTTGGCCAGCTTTCAATTAAATTTGACAGTGATGAAAGTCAGACAGAATTTAATCTTCTACAACTTTTATAAAAACAAGTGCTTGTAAAGAAGAGGGATATTCCATTAATTTTCTTCCTCTAAACAAAAGTCCAAATTAGGAGTTTCTACATCATTAACCCTTAAAGAATCCAAATGCTGGTGAAAACCCTTATAAATCCCCCAAGCATAGGAAAAGCTTTACCTGGAGTTAAACTTCTATTCAAGAGCGAATTTAAGCAACCTCAAGACACAGATCTGTAACAAGTCACATTCCATTAGCAGCTGTTCACATTAATTATTTGGGCTTTGTGGCTGTGTTACCATATTAATAAATGTAAATATAAATTAGATGAGGCAAAAGAACATTTTCTTATAAGATTACTTTTTTCCTTATTTTCATTATTAGCATATTGCTTGAGGTTCTGCTCAGTCTGGGCATCTTTCCTTGTGGAGGGATAAAAATCTGTGGAGTCTGGCGAGTAGTTAAACTGCATTACTAAAAAGAGATACTCCAGAGACAAACTGATACTTCTTCCCAAAAGGAATATGCTTGTCTTGGGAAGTGGCACTTTTCCTGTATCAAATGATAGGATTTAACTCACCTCACTGGATGTTGAAACCCCAGGGCTCCTTTTGATCTAAAATTTATTAGCTGACCATCCAGTGCTGACTGTAAAGAGACATATTTATTATTTAGAACGGGCTAAAAATTAAGATTTCACTTTTTTCTTCTATAGATAACTGTAAAATTCTACAGAAATTTTGCTTTGCTGTGCTGCATGTTGTTTTGTTCCAAGTGTACTTCAGAGAATATACATGCCCACAGTCTGCCAGTAGTTGCACATTTAACAAAGCATTTGAACTTTTACCTTTTATGAGCTGTAAAGTCATGAAGTTGTACTTTTTGCTTGAGTTTTTATGGAATACCTATAGCAACTGGTGAGCTAATAACATCACCAAATGGAAGTTCAGTAACTGGAAGAAAAAAGGATTTTCAATGAGTTTAAAGGATTGTGAGGTGAGGGTTTTATAAAATACCTCTTTAACTACACTAACCAGTAGTTTGGAGTTGGAATGTTCAAGTCGGCAACTTCAACTGCAATCAAAGATCACACAGGCACACTAAGACTCCAAACAGTAAAATCAAGAGACAACAGGCATATCATATTTCTATGCAAACAGTGATAAAAAAAGCAAGCATTTTTGATACAACAGAGTAGGTAGCAAAAATATATTTTAAATCTCAAAAATAAATTTAGCACGGAATAAATTCCTTCAAACTAAGGTTACAATAAAATGCAGTAATTTGCAAATGCTAATGTTACTAAATCCTATTAGGACTATAAACCTGCAATGTAAACCTGAAAGCGTCTCCCCGAATCACTGAACTCTGTCAGTTAATCTTGTAGGCATGTATTCTCTTCCATATCTTAAAACAAGACTTGTTTTTTCTTCCTGTTGCTGTAAGCATGGTGTTGCATAAAATAGGAAAATTTAGTTTGCTATACTAGAACTTCTAGTGAACAGAATCTGGAAACTGTCCACTCTGCTACAAACAAAGATGACTTTTGCTGCTGTCAGAGCAATTCACCTATCTTTCCGAAGAAGTAGGCTTCAGCATGGATAGTTTGGTGGGCCCCAAAAAGCCCTTGGGCTACAGACTGAGCATGGGGTCCTATAGAATTCTCTCTGTACTTTTAGGTTGGCCTGTTTCTCTCATACCCACCTGTTTGTCTTGTAGCCAAAAAGATTCGTCCTCAGGCTGTCACAGTTTTGTTGAGGTTTTTTTGTGATTAATCAGGAGACTCACTTCCTTTGTTTCTACAATGCCTAGTAAAATTAACTCCTGATCTGGCTAAAAATTGTAGGTGTGATCATAATATGTGTGTTAAATACCATACTTTATTTTTCTCCTCTCATATTTACATTAAAACAGACTTTTTCATCTTTATTGACCTGTATTTTCTACTGTTTTCTCTTTGGAATACATGCTATTTTTTAATATATATGTAGTAATAGGTATTGATTGAACACACATTATATGTTGCTTCCTTTCAGACTATAATACAGCATTTTTCAAAAGCAATTCTGATAAAAGCCAATTAATTGCAAAATCTAACTCAGTTTGTATACAGCAGATAATGTTCAGTGTTAATTTGTATTATGTTGTAGACATGGCAGTAGTAACTTTAAATTACTTTTCATGGCTTTTCTTCAGGCATAAATAACAACAGATTTGAATTTAGGTAGTAGGGAAAGTGTTACTCTTTCTGTAAGGAAAGGTATATTATGTATAGGTAATTATAGAGTCTATTGTAATTAATAGTTTAATTTTTTTACCAGTACTTTTATTTTTTAGCGCTTTGCTCTGCATCTTTCAATTTCTCAGGTTAGACTCATATATATTCCTAAACTTTTTTTTTTTTTTTTTTTAATTACACAGAGGATATTGAAACTTTTATTTACTTCACTTTCGAGTGTTTGGAACATCTATTGATCTGTAAAAGCATTGACATTTGTATGCGCACATTGCAGAAAATAGAGGTAGCCAGCATGCAACTAACTATCAAAAACACTATGCTCAATCCATCTTTGAAGGCCTTCTGCTAGAAACCTCAGTAACTTTGCTGAAGATACCACTTGCCTACCACAGCTGTGGGATGTAGGTTTGCATTAGTGAGCACTTCTTGCCGCCTAAGCACCACAGAAAGGAATCAAACATCTTTCCTCCGCTGTTGTGAACCCTGTTAAAAAGCACATGAATGGGTTCCTAAAGTCCTCCTTCAGCCCTCGTTAGGTCCCAAGCTACAGAGACATCTATGATGCTGAAGCAGCGTGGATGGGCCATAAGGTATAAATGAGAAGGATCTGAGAAGCTTCTGGCAGGAAGGAGAAATGTTAAAAAAAAAAATGAAAGCAGTTGTTTCAGTTATACTTGGCTTGAAATAATGGCAACCATGAATGTGGAAAACTACATATATGGTTTGTTTTTCTCACACAAGTGGGCAGAAGCCCAAGTGAGAATTAAAACTTTTGAGCTGGTTGAATAAAATTTTCTACAAAAATATAACCTCAATAATAAATCACAACTTCCTGATTTCAGAAACCTTGGTTTCTTGAAATCATCACTGTAAGCATGTAGTCTCATGACAGTAAGACTCCTCTTATCCTTAGCAAATTTACAGGTGCCTCTGGCAAAGCCTGGAACCTTGCTCAGAAGTAGTTCCACAGGCTTTCTTTCCCAAGGCGCCGGTTGGGAGGAGCATGGCACTCCCTCAGATCTGTACAGTTACAACCTCCACCAGCAGCAGTCAAAAAGCCCAAGTTAAAAAGGTGTCGCATGTGTTAGAAGATCATAGAAACTGTGAGTCTTTGAAGACTTTCACTGAGGAGACTTGTTGTCTTTACCTGCTGAGCCTTTGGTAAAAAGTTCAAGATGTAACTGTGGATCAGATGCTGCAAAAACTTATGCAGGTGCTTAAAATGAAGCACAGGAGTAGCACCATTTCAGTATATTTTTTGAAGATTGCAGTGTCGGGACCTATGTTGAATGTGCTTCAATCTCTTTATTTTTGTTCTCTGAGCCTGACAAATCTTCCTACATGAGTAAGTAAAACTAATAGTCATGGTGCCTCTCAAAGGCACTTGGCAGTAAGAGCTACTTTAAAATCCAATTTTCTGTTGATTTCCTAGCTGGTTTAGCTATAGCAACATCCCTCCCAGGAAACAATAGAACTTTGCACCTGAAAGTATGGGGTTTTGATTTAATCTTACAGTAATTTTCACTTGGTTTGAGTAAGCGGTGCTTTCTGCAGCTCTTTAAGAACTGATAGTGATTCTATATCTGATAGAGAATTAGAGATAGTCTTAACCATTATCGTGTACAGAACACTGTAATCTGAACCATATTTTCTAACACTGAAAAAATGCTTGAAAGAACAGATGAATAGATGACCAAGCCTCACTTCCTGTGTTCAAATAGTTTCAATTTCTGCACCTGTTTTCTATAAGGATTATTTTATCCAGAATTTAGTCTCACCATTTGTTGATTCTCTGTCATCTCACCGTCTCTTGCTGTGAGCATCCAGGGCCTCCATAAAGCAGGGCTGCTGAAAGATTAAGATAGAATAGTGCTCTCACAGTTAATTCTTTGTGGTTATATCCATACAGTACAGCTCCTTTTGTTAGATTCTGCTGGTATCTTTTGAAATAATATGACCTTTTTCTTTTCAACATATTTTGATTTGGTAAATCTGATTTCTATGGCAATATTAGTCTGTCTACAATTTGATTAAACAAACTTGACAATCGCTTGCATTTTTAACTAAGATGTCATTTCCCTTAAAGATTTCACAACTCAAAGTGACTGCACTGAGCTCCAAATGAAGATATAATTAATACCAAAAACTTTTATTTATGCAGCGCTGCTACAAAATGAAAAGTAACCCTCCCTCTCTGACAGTATGTCTAAATACAGATTCCATGTCGTCACTGAGTGGGTGGTTATTTATTGAGTAAGCAGCTCCAGCATTAAACTGACATGGGCAACCTGATCTAATCAGCTAAAAAGTGCATATGCAGTAGTGGATGCTATGTGTGCCTTTTGTTTGGTTGGGGGGCTACAATTATGGATGCTCTTTTTAACAGTACTTTCCATCTCTGCTGCTGTGTAACACATCCATGTGAATGGGGAAGTGGAAAAATGCTTTCAGATACAAAAGGTAAATAAACTTAAAAAAAATAATAAATCAGTTATCACAGCCTTAATTTTGATTTACTTCCATTTATAAGCTCTGAAATATTTGACTGAGAAGGATAAAATATCAGCAACACAAATAAAATACCTGTTCCAAGCGAAACATATTTTGCCCTTTACTTCCAAAGATGGAAATTGTTTTCCGTTGTCTACTCAATACCGAGATCATTACATGCAAAGGATACTTACAGTCGGAGTTTTGAAAGGAAGGCTTCTGAGAAAAGCCTGGCTGGGGCTGCCTTACCTCCCTGGGCGCTGCCCTGGCCGGGGCCGGGGCCGGTGCTGCCTCCGGCCACCCCCGGAGCAGTGCCAGATGCGACCGGCCGCAGGCTGGAGCGGGACGCCAGCGGCTGCACCCTCCATGGCATCTGGTGGTCTAAAGCCTGTGGCGGGCTGGGCGCCTGCCTGGGCCTTTCAGCCCCTCCTTTATCTTAACTCCCAAAGAATACTTACCTAAAGCAAACACAGCCTCAGGTAAAAGGAGAGAAATGTCCTTTTGACTCCCCGAAACAGTTCAAAGATAGGGCTCTCGTGGGCAGGCTGTCCTGGGGAGGGCACTGCTAGGGAAACAGAGGCTTTTTGTTAAGTTTGGTTAGCAAATCACACGGAAAATAATCTGTGCCCTTTATCTTGCTGTCACCCTTTTTACAAAATACATATTTGCTCTATATGAAATATATGATGTAAATACTCTTTTTGCGTGTCTTGGGAAAGCTTGTCAACGTCCTGTCCTAAAAAAGTGTAACAGAGATTCAAAGAGAATTTTAAATATAAAATAACTTTTTAAATGACTGAAGTCTTTTTCGTGTCCTAACTTTAAAAAGATACCAAAAATCAGTGAAGATGAGAGAATATAAAGACAGGCCTAGTGACTTCCTCAAGACTACAGGGATGTTCCTTTAATTTGATTGCTCTTTGATGGATGGAGAAGAAAGCTTATGCCAAGAAAGATTACTTTGTCTATCAAAGAATAAGGCTTATGAATGTCATCGCTTTGAGGAATCTTTCATTTCAAAGTATGCAACATATGCTTTAAGCCTACAAAGACTGAATAGAAGCAGACTTCTTCCAAGCTTTCTTCCCACTGCTTTCATTCATAGGGTGCATTACTTGGTGCCTGTTACACTGTACAAGAACCATTATTACATGCTGGGTGATACTATCTGATTTTCATTGGTGTGGCTCATTGCTACAGTTTACATTCTTTCCTTTATTTCCCAACTGCTGCAGAGATTTAAGAGGATTGTAAGAACCTAATGCTGAATTCTCTTTCCACCCATGCAGTTTACACATCGACATCAAAGGGAACAGATTCAGCTCCCAAATGGAATTGGTTTCTACTCTGAACTTTCTTCCCAGAGAGAGAGAAATAATTTTGTTTGCGGCAGATGGAATGTCCATTGATTGTTTAGTATGAATTAGGTCCCTTCTATCAGACTTAGCTGAAGAAACCATCAAAACAGTCAGTTTGAGAGGACACTGCAAATTCTTAGTGGGCATCCGATCCCTCTGAGGTAAGCCTTGTGGCTCTTCTTCAAGTTATGATCCAGCTGGAGGTAGCCTGTGTCCAGTCAGCAAGAAGGGGTTGGACTCAAAGATCAGTGGATATACTCCCTTGGAGACACCATTCTCCCTTGAAATTGTTCTGTACTATAAGGCATTGTATATATACCTTTGCATGTGGGTTTGTGGTTTTGGGGCGTTTTTTTGGTGCCTTCTACTGATTTTGCTTAAAATTAAATGTTCTTCCAACAGGGAGGGGCTTAGGTCAGATTTGAAAGTCAGACTGATTTTCCACCATTGATGTAAGTTGTACGGTTTTGTTAGCTACTTGGCACTCCTAAGACTGATAAAAGTAATTGCATAACACAGGTTCTGATGTTTCTGAAGTAATCTTCAGTAACAGAATCTGAGATTCAACTTGTTGAGGTCCAACTCTTACATAAATTTTCCCTGTTCTTTAAAACATCCCTTCTTGCTGTATCAAAGACACATTTAAAACTCAAAGGCCAAAGCCATTAATGCTGTTCTGGGAAGCACTGACTACGTAATAGAGGACTTACAGTCCAAATCTCCTCCCTCTCATGTTTAAATACGGTGTGATATTTGTAAAGTTGTATCTGAGTAAATAATACCATATGTCAAAGAAGAAAATATATGCACAGTCTCAATCCCTTTAAACATTTATGTAAGAAAATCAGTACAATTATTAGAATGAAGAATATGGTGAATAATATTCAAATAACAAAATATATATTAAATAGCAGCACGGGTCCTGAGAAAAAATGGCAAACTTCTTAAGTAACCTAAATTGTAATTAAATATCTTACTGAATTACAGTCTTAAATACACATATATAATTTCATCAGCTTAGTTTTGTTTAGCCCTAATTTAACTTGATAGTTGGAAGGGAAGTATGCATTACACAACTGATCTCTATGGTCCTGATCTTGCAATCAGATCCGTATGTGAGGCTAATTGATTTATAACTCTGGATAGAATCTGCCAACATGGATATTACTGCAGGACTAAAGCCTAAACTACTAACATATAGCTCTCCAGAAGATGCAAAGTTACCCTCAGTTACCCATATAGCTCTGCAGAAGATGCAAAAGTTGCCCAAATCTGTCAATAAAACCCTGCAAGACAAAATTTATTACAAAATCATTGAAAATACAATTTTGTTAATGAGGCTATAATATAATCTAATATAATTACAGGTAACACTGTAGAAGAAGAAAGTTAATATTACATTATTGTACTGATTAATCGAAGCACACAACTTTAACTGGTGTTTTCATGGACACCATTAACTAAAATCAGGTTGCAGATCTGTGAAAAATGGTTTATTCCAGTAAAGTATAAGCAGCTGTAATAGTGTATAATCTACAGTTTCTAAAAAAAAAAAAAAAAAAAAAAAAAAAGCAGCAGTTAGGCCAGACATAGACGTCTAATTTTAAGAACTATATTACTTTTTGCAATATACATACTTAATTTTAATACAAGGTGCTGTATTTGGTGAAAAACATTTCATAAAATTAGAAAACACTGTTTCTGTTACAGTTGCCCATCCATTTTTCCCAAAGGCCGGGAGTATTTTTCAGACCTCTGATACTACCTGAGAATAACTTTGACAGACTTGATCCTTACAGAAAGATGAGCCATATGATAATTATTTTGCGTTAATTGGAAGATGTTTTTTATCTTTGTGGGAAACCTGTTTTACTCAGTTTCCTCATGAAAGCACCTGAGCATTTGCAAGAATAAAGAGTGCTATAAATTTGTATAGTCAAGGAAACAGGATATCTTTACAGCATTTATCGTTTTGAATAATATCTGGTATTAAACAACCTGACATAAACATCTGTAGCCACTGATAGCATACAGAGCTCCTCAAAGAGAAATTGTTGAAAAAGCTTTTAGGGAACAGAGGGAGTATGAAACTGAGCCATTCACAAATCACAGCAAGGCAGTCTCATGATATTCCTTTAAAGTCAAAAAGAGACTTATCTATGATGAGGTTATATGGTAGAGTCAGCTCCCTGTTCTGAGTGGCCTCCTCTGCGAGCCTTCCCATATGGAATCTTTGAAGAGCAAAGGGAGATTTACCCCTCCTTAACTGAAGCTGGCCTTTCTGTCCCGTTCTGTGTGTGTGTGCATGTGAATTCTTCAAGACTGTGGGCAGAAATTCAAAATTTAGCCTATCCACTTTCTTCAGGGTTTTTCAAATTCTCTTTAAACAATTTCATGTGTGTGTGTGTGTGTCCAGCATCTTGCAGTACCTTTCTGTAACCTTTTCTCCATGACAAAAACCCAAGTGTTCTGGGAAATCTGAGGGCTAATATTACTCACTGTCTTCTTCCGAGGCTTCCTTCCACCCTCCTATAAGGAGGAACTGATTGACATAGTTATTTTAGAACACCTATTTCAGTAAATTTCCTGGTGTGTACAAGGCCTTGGCTTCACAATAATAAAAAAAAACAAAACAGTGTTTCCCAATCTAAAATTCTTAATGTTTTAATCAGAGCTTGTCATGATTAAGTCTAACCTACACTACAATAGAAACTAGAAAACCTACAGCAACTTTTTGGCTTCAGATTATTCTGATTGAGAATGCACCAACATACATGGAAATTTGTCTTAAAATGGTGATGCATTTTGCCTCTATATTTTTCTGCTTTAGATTCCCTTGCATCATGCAGTTTTGATTCAGTTTTCTCATTTACTCATAGACATTTTCACGGTAAGGGAACCATGAAACCAAAAAGGATCATAATATAGTTGACTGCATTTGATGCCACTACATGATTAAGCAAAGCATGTTCCTCATTTTGTAAAGGTTATGTAAACAGTTGTGTTTTGCAGTGTGCTCTGAAGGTCAGCAATGCATGTGCTGTTGAACTATTAGAGAAAGTGAATTCCAAAGTTGAGAGCTTTCTTTTGAGGTTGTATACTTTGCTTGTTTTCTTTCTTTTGATGTGCCTGGGTAAGTATTTTGACTTCCTGCATAAGATAAAGTCACACAAAGGAACAGTGTATTATGCCAAGTTAGGACCACTGGAGACTTTGTTCCTCTCTCCATAGAATATGTACAAGATATAGCAGCAGCACAAGGCTGGTATTTCTTAAGCTTGAGATGGAGAAGGATAATTATTTAAATTATTTGACCTCCCAACTGAAACTGCCGCCTATTTCTGCCATGCATTGTGGAAGTCAAAATTGTGTGGGTGATTCCTACCATTTTGGATAAGCTTCTGCTCTGGGTGCATATTTAAAGCAGCAAAAATGTCTGTCATCATACTGGTGGTGGGTTTTTTTCATACTGATGCCCTCTCCAAAACATGCAGGGCCAATTTGTTCCTTGTTTATCTACAGTGTCAGTGTGTTGTTGGTGGATATCCATTTAGGAAATTGTTCTCTTAGAATACCTATTTTAGTAAATTTCCAATTGCATACAAGGCCTTAAGTTCAGAACAATAAAAAAGACTGTGGCTTCACAAACAATTGTCACGTATCAGTCAGCTGCAACTTTAATGTTGGTGTTGGCTTCTTTCTTCCAGCCTTCTTGCATTTTACCTTTTGCCTTTTTTTTTTTTCCTTTTCATTCACCCACTAAATATCTGTTGGGATCAGACTGATACAGGTGTTCTTCTCACAGAGCTCAATATTGTGACTACCTTCCATACAAAATGTAAAAATTATTAAATAACTTTCATGCACAGAGGTACCAGAGAAGTACAGAATACCTTGCATTAGTTCTCTGTTGCATCATCTGTAGTGGCATGTTGTGTTTAGCAGCACACATGGCACTTGCAAATCCTACAGTTTTGTTCCCCATCAGGCTGTTCTTCATTATGGCTTCA